TCATTGAACACGTGTTCAATGAGCTCTGGCTCGTTAGGCTCGTTTTTTAACGACCTGAAAAAATTACGGCTCAGATCGCTCGTTTTCTGGCGAGCCACGAGCCAGCTCGCGAGCCGGGCTCGTTTTGACACCCCTAGTTATATCTGGTTTGGTTGGTTGGTCTAAGATAAGCACTGTGGTAATAAGTGATGATTTTGTTTTTTGTTTTCTTTTCAAAATGTAATCCTCCCATTTACAATCGTGTAATTTTCAACCCTGGACTTGTTTCATCTATAGCGTGATTGATTTTGTTTACGTTTGAAATCCTTGTTTCGAGTGGCAGATTTTTTTGTTTGGGTGGTTTTTTGTTTTGAGAATTTCATGAGGTGTTTGGTCGAGACTCGAGCTGGACGCGGATCGAAATCGGAGTACCCGACTCAACCTGAGCCTCTGGGATTTCGGAATTCAGACTTCAGAGTACGTCACCGTTACAAACTCCGATTTTAATATACATATTTGTATATGTTATGTATTCAGGTTCATACCAATCTCTACATTATAAATAATATTATTCGTTGTATCACGTGGTCGATACATGAGAAATTAACAAATATGTACATTTATTGATTTTACAACAAACAAATACAGAGGAAAATTAAGAATAATTCATTACAAAAAATGGAGTATCAGTCTAAATCCAAATGGTTTAGAAATCGTTGAAGAATAGTAATGGGGTTTAGAACAGTTTCATTTACCCGTCAAAGTATAGTAATGGTTGACCCAAACCCCCGTCGTATGTGTCCATCTACGTGCGTGTGTAGTATATACCCTTTTGATAACCCTAAAAGCACACCTGCCAATGAGAGCGAAATTAAAATCTTACTCAAGTCTCAAAAGGAAATGGTAAAAAAACCTACATTTCTATTTTCTATGTGGGTACGGATGAACACGGGCATTCTGCCCGTGATTATTCGACCCCGAACATGAACCTCTCGAGTCACATGTTCGGTACCATCATACCCGTACCATTCGGATATCCGGATTGCTCCAAATGCTTGGAGATCCATAGACAACTCGGCCGGCGAAGGTGAGAGACCGAGGTGAGTGGCGAGGACGAGACAAGGTGTCAGAGGCAAGGAAGGCGAACCTAACACTAACCCTGTATGAATTCGGGTGTATTTCCCAACACTACCGTCGACACATCGCCTCCTTCTCGCCCTCCCTACTTGCTCCTCGCCGCAAACCTGACCTAACACCCTTGACGAGTCTAGCACGGATACCCATGGATACGAGTTCTTGCCGGTCGATACTCAAAACCGAAAGATCAGTTCTCGCCGTCGTCAGACCCGTATTCACCCCGTCAATAGACAAATATCCAAAAATCAGATACCCGACTCGCGTTTGGATCGAGTTCCTAAATTTTGGGGTTATTTGCCCATCCCTAATTGTCTAGTGAATTTTAAAATCATATTATATCCTAGAAGAGAACGTACCTCAGGCATTGTATATCCATATGATTACAGATAACGCATGTTCCTAACCACGGAGGCCCAGTTCTACCTCCAGTTCATCATCCTCTTCGAACAACTTCAAAAGCTGAGCATACTGCTCATCTCTTCTCTTCTTCTGCCACATCTTATACATGAAGAACGATAACAACACCACAGCTACAATTCCAATCAGTATGATGATCACCTTTGTCCCTGTTTTGCTGGATGAAGTACGGGATTCAGGCTTTGCTCCGGTGCTTGAACTCTTTGAGTCATCAGAAAGGCCTGAATATATCATTTTGGAATAACATGAAGCAACTGGGGATTTTAAAATGAAAAGGCCTGAATATATAATTTTGGAATAACATGAAGCAACTGGGGATTTTAAAATGAACTGATGAGACTTAAATAAAAATGTTTGGCATGAACCCACACTCACACGAGAACAATCTTATCAACAAAGAAATCGTATTGTCAATAATATTGTCACACCACGAAGCTAAATGATAACCTCAATGGGCTAGCATAATATTCAACCAGAACTGGTAGAGCTGTAGCCAATTGCCAACTAAACAAAGCCAACAACCCCAGACCTTGGCAACAGAGAGCCTGAATTGCAACAACAGTTGCAGAATTTGGAGATTAAGAAGCATTAGGCTTTAGCTTCTAAGAAAACGGCGGCCATTTTGCACTCGTTCCCGTGCAAAAACATAGAAATGACTAGCATGTTACTTCAAATGCCTGAAACTCATATCCTGATTATCCAAGATAGTCAGCATCATAGTCAACAAAGAGAAGTGGTCACTTTAACCAACAGGAAAAAAAAGGATTATCACTTCTTGCACATCACTACCATCAAGTACTGCTGAAAACATGGCTACCAATAGGATGAAGATGCTTACTGATGCTCTCAGCAAATCCCGCTCCCGAAAACAATAGATTTTTCAGACAACTTCGTCAAAGTAATGGATCGACCTTTTACAAGGCAGTGTTTAGCATTTACAATCAAGAAAATGAAGTCTGTTCGAATTCGACCCAACATAATGAAATAAACCTCATTGTACACTTTGGAAGCAAAGATTGAAAACGAGACTGCCAAATAATATATCAACAAAACCCTAATCTCAAGCCGATTTGTTATTTATCAAAATGTTAAAACATCAGTACTTCTTAGTCCTTGCTGCCACGATTGCTTTAACCTAGAAAGACAACTCTTCTCTCTAACTAAGCAACAGCGGATACATTCTTCAGACTGTGAACCATAGATCTTCATCTGCAAAGTGCAAACCTTCTTCTGATTGTAAAAGACCTAGCATGCGGCCATAGGACGAATGACAGTATCTCCAAAGAGCCAAATTCAGCTTAAAATTCGACCTAAGTCTCAAGGATTCAACAACTAAGCCCGTTCAAATCTACAAATAAGAACATCAAACCTGCGAAATCTACCGAAACAACAACAGAAATTCGAAAGTCAAAGCGGCCAAAAATCCAAACGAGATAGATCTGATGAAGACGAACCTAACACGAACAGCAGGAAAATCGAAGCGGAAAGCACCAGATGCCGCCATGAAAGACCACATACCAAGGTTCCTCCCATCTCTCTCTCTCTCTCCGGTGTCGCTTGCGCGCAGGGAGGATCGACCTTCTTCCGATTACTTAATTTTGGGCGGAAGGAATTATAAAGAAAAACACGAGTGTTTGGAGTCTGACCCCATCTCATTTCTTTATAAATGTTCTCTACAAAATTTTATACACACAATTGGTAGGGAAAAATATATTATTTGAATGAGTATATATATTAAACAAAAAAAAATAGAATTTTGGGAATCCGACCAAACATTTAAATATATCCCAAAGTCTCTTTTTGTACTTCTATTTTTTTTTAACCGTGATTGGTTACTTGTTGTAATTCTAATTTTTATATGGAAAACAAAAGAAAAGGTGCAAATAAAATACAAGGGAAATCGCATGTTAATATAAGAATTTATAAAAAAAACAGTCTAAAATAAATATGTAAAATTTAAATTTTCAAATAAATATATGAATTAACAAAATTACTATATTTTAAAAAATTTAAAATTCATGTATGTATCTAAATTGCTTTTGGATTAATATATGATTTTCTTAAAATTAAATAAGAAAGTCAACAAACAGGGGTAGTTTCGTCATTATAGCCTACCAAAGCGTCATCATCTAGGGGTAGGTGTCTTCGAAAAAAACAAATTATAATTTCTTGTCTTTTAGTTCTTCGCCTATTCTTCACCGTTTCAAAGCACGCACACACCCACACACACACATATATATATATATACGCACACACTCTTTTCCTGGCTTCTCTCTGTAAAGCGATAAGCGATGGCGAGAAGACCGGACGAAGAGTACGATTACTTGTTCAAAGTGGTTCTGATCGGTGATTCAGGTGTCGGAAAGTCCAATCTCCTCTCTCGATTCACCCGCAACGAGTTCTGTTTGGACTCCAAATCCACCATCGGTGTCGAGTTCGCAACTCGCACTCTCCAGGTACTCACCCTTATCTATACGGACTATCCCATCGTCGATTGATCTATCATTGTGTTTAGTTCTGTTATCGTCTCGATTTATTTCAAATCTTTTGGGATCCGGATGAACTGCTCTCTGTTTACGTGCTCCTGTTGTTTTCTGGTTTGATCCGGAAAAAATTCATAGAAAGCGCCGATCCGACGATGATCTGCGACAGTTGGCGTCTGCGCATAGGCATTTTCATGTATTCGAGTCTGATCCATGAATGTTTCTCGTTTTTCAAGAAAATTTATGTTTCTTCAGTTTTTTGGTTGTACATGTTTCCCAGTTACTTCATTTCTCGAAGGATTTATGTTGTCTCCTTGGGCATTCTCTAACAAGTAATAAGTCCATTCAGATTTTGTTTGGACTGAATGAGCCTCTTCAATCTCCTGGAATTCTGTCTTAACTTATCTCATACTTATAACGAGGTTGTCTTGCTGCAAAGTTTAGCTTGAGAGAATATCAGATCTGACATTGCTTTTTGAAACGGAATCAGGGTTGTTCTTCATATGCATTGCTGAAGTTTCCCTCTGATTTTGGTTTCAGTGTCTCCAATCGACGATTATCCTATTTGAAAATCAAATGAATTGACTTTAATATGTTAAATCCTAATCTAACTTGCGTTTAGTTTTGAAGTACGGCATTCTGTGATGGTGCATCTGTTGACTATTTCTCTCGTGTGATGCTAAACCCGGGTGGAACGCTTTTTTGTTATAAGGTCGAGGGAAGGACCGTGAAAGCTCAGATATGGGACACAGCAGGTCAAGAGCGATACAGAGCCATAACGAACGCTTATTACAGAGGCTCTCTTGGAGCTCTCGTGGTCTACGACGTCACAAAACCGAAAACCTTTGAGAATGTCAGCCGATGGCTCAAAGAACTCAGAAACCACTCGGGTTCGAACAGCGTGATCATGCTGATTGGGAACAAAACCGATCTGAAACATCTCAGGGCCGTAACCACGGAGGATGCTCAGAGGTATGCGGAGAAAGAAGGCTTGTCTTTGGTCGAGACATCGGCCCTCGAAGCAACAAACGTCGAGAAGGCTTTCCAGACGATTCTCTCGGAGATTTACAGGATCATGAGCAAGAAATCGATATCGTCGGATCAGACAGCTGCAGAAGCTGTCTCCAATGTCAAGGAAGGGCAAACCATCGATGTCTCTGCTTCTTCTGAAGCAAAACTCAAGAAGCCTTGTTGTTCATCGTCTTGAAAACATAGGTTAGGTTAGCTCTCTCCCTCTCTATAATACCAATCATCATATCAATCTTCGTTTTCATACAGTGTACTTTTCTCACATTGACAATGGGTATGATCCCTCGTTAAAAAGAGATTTTGTTTTTGCTCAAATCTGCGTGGGTTTTGAATATGTTAGTTATGTGTTCTTCGCGAGAAATAAAGAAAAAACAGCAACAAGAAAGGGGAAACGGCCCACGATTCTGCACAAGGTGGAGGAAGAGGAAGATATGTATGCAAACCCTGACCTTTCTTAGGTTCCTAAGTTCCGAATCCATCGTTCAACCCGAGATTTGGGTTCTCGAGATACTCGATGAGGACGAGAGGCTAAACTGCCAAAGGCGATGACACAGGTGACATCGAAAACGGGGTCAAGGTATCCAAAGAAGACGAGATGAGACGAGAGGATGGATAGAAGTACAACACCCGAGTTACAAAGGAGGGCTGAGTCAAGGCATTAGAGGGATAGAGGCGACACGAAATGTCGGAATGATCAAACCCCTAACCCTAGACGAGCCGATGACAATACCTGACGGATTCTAACCGTCCAACACACCCGGACCTGAACTCAAAGATCGGGTTTTCTCAATCTCTAGACACGAACTCATCTCGTCGATGGATGAGTACCCGGTTTTTTGGATACTCGACTTGTAACTCGAATCGGTACCACGCTCTGGGAGACAGCAAGAGCAAGACAGGCGAGACAATGGAAACACTTGACGCTGACTGAGAAAACAAACAGCTCGTATGAAGAGGAAATGAACTCATCTTTTTTTTTTTTTTTTTTTTTTTTTTTCAAACACAACTATGCTTTATGAAATTGACAAAGCAAAAAACCCAAACGTACGGACATAGAGAATTTTTGCACATGCATTCGTACCATACAATGTCGAGAGTTTTGTCCTAACGAAAACACCAACAAACAAAAAGAAAGAAACCCTTCTAAATCCCTTAGGTTTAGGAGACAGAAGCAGGTTTTCACACAAGCTTACGTACAGAAAAAAAAAACACAAGTACGGAGAAGTTTTACGGGGGGCTTTCAACGACTAACTGCAGCAGCCGCTGTTCTGCCCGATAGGCTGTCCTTTCATTTCGACAGTTCCCGACCCCGCCTTGTTAGCGCTCGGCTGGCTCCCCATCCTGCATCGGAGCAAATAGTATCAGAGCCGTTCTTTTCCCCGAGTAATTTTATTCGTGAAGTGAAAACGAGGTTCGGCATTCATTGATCCAGGAACTGAGATTCAATATAATCAGACAGATTGAAAAACGGAAAAGAATGCATCTATAATGTTTTCTTATAAAGAATATAGAAATCTTATCGACGAAAGATAAAGATTAGCGAAGATACTTCTTCTTGATCTCCCCGGCAATGGTCAAGAAAGCCTGCTCTACGTTGATAGAATCTTTGGCACTCGTCTCGAGAAAAGGAATTCCGAGCTCATCTGCAAGGGCCTGCAGTTCGAGATTCAATCAAATTGTAATCAAATAATGTTACGCCTGTAGCGGAAGTTACGGAAAACGATGATGAGCCAACTCGGTACATTGTAAAGTTTGTGGTTATAATTTGTCGGATGAGAAATGAAACCACGAATGGCGAAACAAGATCAATGCAAGGAAATTTCTGGTTACCTTTCCAGTTTCGGTGGAAACAACTTTACTTTCAACAAGATCGGTTTTGTTACCGATTAGAAGTTTGCAGACACTTTCGTTAGCGTATCTATCGATCTCATTCAACCATTGCTTCACGTTGTTGAAGCTCTCCATCTCAGTACAATCATACACAATCTGCCATTGAGAAAAATCATTTCTAGGGTTCTTCACATAATATCAGAATACCGGCGACATGGCCAATATGGTGCATATATGTCACATTCTCAAAGATATTGATCAAACAATGATTCAGAATAGACAAAACACTACTCCCCATAACCAGAAATATGACGAGGAAGGGATTCTTACGATGATCCCGTGAGCTCCTCTGTAATAACTGCTGGTGATGGTCCTGAACCGCTCCTGCCCGGCAGTATCCCACTGAAGACAGCATCAGAGCAAAGAATTTTTTTTAAGAAATTAAGTCCAACAAATCGGTAAAACTTCAATCGTGCTAGAGTTTTCTCTCGTGCGAGTGAACATGGAACGAGTATAAACAGTACAACAATGACATATAACCCAGAAGCAGACACAATGAGAGAGACATCGATGAACGAATGTCGGTATATTTTCAGAAACCATTTGAAACTAGTATCGTAGTATTTCGAAGAAAAAGGAGAATTTCTCACGATTTGCAGCTTTATAGTCTTCCCGTCGAGCTCGATGGTCCTAATTTTCTGCCAACAGATGATGATATCACACTGAGTAATTTTCAATTCCACTTAAACCATCAACTACATATGAACAGACATTGTCTCCCTATTCCAAAAACTTTCCCATCTATATATGCTACTTTGATGTATACATGCACGCACGCACGCACACACACGTATATGTATATATACGTCTGTATGTATGTATGTATGTATGTATGACAGTGTAGATGCTTACAAAGTCGACACCTATGGTGCTTATGTAGCTGTCGATATAAGCATCATCCTGCAATCACGAAAAGGGAGATGAGATAATCAAGTCGCGATCATGCATCACAGTTCATGAAAAAAGACAATAATTTAAACAAAATAGGAAATTTCTAACAGAACAAGAACTATGGTAAAAGGGGGAAGGTTCCGACAACAGAATCAAATAAGCCAAAATTAGAGGAAATAGGGTCAGACTCACTGCAAATCTCAGAAGCAGGCACGATTTTCCGACAGAAGAGTCTCCGATTAGCAAAAGCTTGAACAGATAATCGCTGAACAAAGAAAAACCCAAAGACGGGAAACAAACGCAATGATATGATTCAACACAGTAACGGAGATTACAAGGAGAGACAATGTGGAAGAAGACGAGGAGACACAATGATGCAAAGGAAACTTACTAGTCGTTGCTCATGATTTCTCAGGTGCGATTCTTTTGACGGAAAATGGGAAATTTTCCCGGAAAAACTTTCCCTTTTATCCCTCAACGAGGAGCTTGAGTTGTCGTGTGAAACTCAATCGAATGCCATGAACCCCACAACTTGAAATGGAATTTCTTTTTCTTTTTATAATTTCTTAATCTTCACTCTTTCAATTGTAAAAAAAACAAAAAATCTAATTATCTTTATATCTTAGTTTTTGTCCTGTCTCAACTCTCCTCGCACGTGATCGACACGTGCCATAGTTTTGGGCCTCTAATAACATATAATATGTGGGCTTGGCCCAAAATTGGCAATTGGGAATAAGGTTTGGTCTTAAAAATTTTGTTTGTAAATGATTCTATATCCATATTTCGGTTTTCTTATAAAAACGAATCGAACTAAACCTAACAACATATAATATATTTGAAATTGAATTAATTGGGTATGATTTTTTTAAAACTTAATTAAAAAATTAAATGAAAACGTATAATTATTTTTTAAAAAAAAGTTAGATATAAATTGAATCATAGAAGACAGGTTATAGTTGAAAAGAGAAGTCTTGAAAATGTTTCAGTTACAACTCAGAGATATATGCATAAAGGCAAAAGGGTCAGCAACTTGCTGGATGTTTGGTGTCATATATGAGTTGTTAAGACAGTTTGCAATTCCTTTTCATTCATATTTGTTTGATTTTGTGATCTAAATATCAATTGTTGAGGTTAAGAATTTTGATCAAATATAAGTGCATGTTATTTATATTAAAAGATAATCTGAAAAATAAAGATGGAAATATCTCAAATAAAGATAAGTTAGTACAAGTTGTAAAAAAAAAAAATAATACGTTCTGTACTATATTTTTTAAAATTAATATCTGAAATATAATACTTTTATACATGTGATATATATTAATTTTTTCTTTAGAATTTTATATTGGAATAATAGTTTTTAAAGAAATAGAATTTTTACTTCTTTTTTTTCTGGAATATTTATCTTTTTCGCAATTTTTTTTTTGCCGAAAACAATGTCTTAAAAAATAGAAACAAGATTGTGATAACATTATTAATAGACTTTTTTTTTTCTTTTTTACGTTCACAAAAGAATATTAATAGACATTTTTCCAAAGCTAGAGACTTTTTTTTCTTTCATTTATTTTTCCCACACATTTATTTTTGGTTACCTTTTATCTTTTAAAAAAACACGATACAGAACCTATCCATAGATATTTCGATTTTTAATTCAGTTATATTTATTTAATTTTAGAAAAAATTTCAAATAAATATATCAATTTACTAATTTTTTACTGATAAATATAAATTTTTATATTCCAAAAAAAGATATTTTTTTCCAAATTATTACATGAATACAAATATCGTTAACTCTATAACGTTTTTGGGTGAACGGTATTGATGTGACGCATCGGATTTTTCACATCAACGCCACATGTTAAAACTTTTCTATATCATTAAAAATTAAAACAAAATTAAAAATAACATCAATAAAAATAAAAATAAAAATAAAAATTTAAAACTAAAACTAAAAAAATTTATAATTTAAAAAGTTTTAACATGTGGTACAGATGTAAAAAATCTGGTGAATCTTATTAGCACCGTTCATACAAAATGTTATAGAATTAACGGTATTAGTGTTCATGTAATAATTTAGAAGTAAAATACCAATTGGTATATTTTTTTGGAAGATAAAAAATTTATATATTTATCGGTAGTAAATTGATTTATTTATTTAAATTTGTTTTTAATTTTATTAATTTTAAAAAGTTATATACATTCAAATTCTCATTTAATAAAAAAAACCCGAACCCGAATCCATCGGTCGAGCACAGCTGGATACAGCCTGTCACCAACCAAGTCTTACTACTCTCCTCTCTCTCTCCCATCCCCTGTTTTGGCCTTCGTCTCCCTCTGTCCTCTCTCTCTCTCTCTCTCTCTCTCTCTCTCTCTCTCTCCTTGATTTAGGGTTTGCGGATCTCCTTCTCCATCGCTCAGATCCTCCGTCTCTGCTCCTCGGATCGGGATTCTTCTCCTCGTAAGTTCTCCATCAATCTTGTTTTCGCCGTCTGATTCTGCATTTTCTGATTTTTTTCGGCTCCGGTTTGGATAAATTCTGCATTCGCTTTCGCATTTGATGCTATTTTCATTCTCTTTTTGTCTCTATTGGATCTGGAATTGATAGATTGTTCTATGGTTTATGCATTTAGTCGTGTGGGTATGTTCTTATGGTTTTTGTGGTGGAAGAGGACGGATGGGGAAAAGAGGAGTCTAGTGATTTCTTCTGCTAATGGTGGTTAGGATATTATTGAAAGAAAAAGAGTTTATTGCCAGTAGAAGATTATGATCGTTGTTGACTTTGTTTTGGATTTTGCTGTGGTGATTCTTTTTTGCTGGAAAATTTTAAATTGAAGTATTGGTCGAGAGACAATAAACGTTTTTGTCTCACTTTTTGAGGAGATTGATGAAATGGGAGCACGCATTGCATGACAAAAGATAGTTTTGGAACCTGTTTTTGCTTCTTATTGACGAAGTGGTCTCGATGTATATGATTGGTTTCTGGTTGGAAACCCCTTGATTTATTTTAAATCCATTGTCTGACTCTGAGGATTATGGGACGCTTGTGTTTATTCTCACTGACGGTTTCATGTGTTATTAAAACGGTGTTGTTATCAGAAACATGCCCGTTGTTGGATTGTCCTCTTACCATAAATTTCAATGTCTCTGCATATCCATCTTAGACATTTTAGAAAGTTGCTGACTTTGGGTCATCTTTGCAGTTTATGTAGGCGGTTCGCAGATTGAATGTTAGAGTCAGATCACTAAAGTCCTCTTATGTGATCTAGACTACATATTTGTATCTACTTCAACTTCTTAAATCTGCTGCCTTTGCTGAGGGTTGGCTGAGTGGTCCTCGTCCTGTCCATATGGTTCACAGTTGAAGGTGTGTCTTCTCCTTATTCATCGGTGGTTACTGACCTCTCTGATTAGCCTGGATAGGAGGAATATCAACTGCTACAGATCTTGCTGTATCCGTGCTGGCAGAGAGCATGCGTGCATCCTGTGTTTCGGGTGATGCCCCTGATAAAATTAGCTTCCGATGCATTCGGCGTGGTGACAATATGCCTAGTCGCTCTTCTCATACTTCTGGGTTTCCTTTGCATCGCTTATTCCTTCTATTTCCAATCACATGTCCATAAGCGAGACTATGCTCAGCTTGGTTATTTCAGTGGTCCTTGGATTATCCGAATCACATTCATCTTGTTTGCAATCTGGTGGGCCCTTGGTGAGGTTTTCCGACTAAGTTTGTTGAGACGCAACGGACGACCCTTGTACTCGCTGGATCTGCAATGGCAAGAAAACACCTGCAAATGGTACATTGTCTCTAATCTAGGGTTTGCCGAGCCGTGCATGTTTCTCACCCTCGTGTTTCTCCTACGTGCACCATTGAAGATGGAAACTTCAACCTTGAGCGGAAAATGGAATGCAAAGACAGCTGGGTATGTCATTCTTTATTGCCTCCCAGTATTTGCACTTCAACTCCTGGTTAGTATATCTGGGTCACACATGCACAGAGGTAGCAGTGGTTCTTTGAGGAAGCTGCCACACTATTTCACAAGAACCTATTCCCGAGTTATTACAGACGAAGGCAGGATAACTCTTTGCACATATCCTCTCCTGAGTACTGTCCTTCTCGGCATCTTTGCCACCGTCCTAACGGCTTACTTGTTCTGGCTTGGAAGGCAGATACTGAAACTGGTCATCAATAAGCGTCTACAGAAAAGGGTATACACATTAATATTCTCGGTCTCGAGTTTCTTCCCGTTGAGGATTGTTTTACTCGGCCTTTCAGTTCTAAGGAAACCTGGGGACATCTTATCGGAAGCCCTAGCGTTTGTGGCTTTCCTCGCTCTCCTATCCTTTGCCTCGGTATCCATTTTGTTGCTCGTTTATTTCCCGGTTTTAGACTCCATGGCCCTGCGGGGTTTCCGGGACTTGGAGGAGCCGAGGACGGGCCACGATGATCGGAGCGGGGCCCTCTTGCTCAGCCCAGGAAGTCTGAACGCCGAGGAGCCGAGGTACTTGGAACTCGGGCAGTTTCTTGAGACCGAGAGATGAATCATATCTCTTGTCTTTGTTCTTTTGTGATCCCCAAATGTACAGATTCCCTGTAAAAACGGAAGGCAGGCTGTTTAGACACAACACTAATGTTCTTTGCTTTGATTGCAGCATCTCATCATAATTGTCTGCTTTTTAATTGATCTTTTTTGTTTACTCTGATCAATTTTGATTTTGGAAATGTTTAATCAGCTTCTCTCTTCTTAATTACATGCATATATATATATGTATATATATATATTCACATATATTTACGAGTGGAAGCCTTCAGGGTGAGGATTCGATTTTGATAACCTTGTGATACAAACATATTCCTAATACATGTATGTATACACGCACATATATGATTCTGAAGTCTCCAAAACGAGGATTCATGTTGATATCCTAATGGCATTCTCGCAAATAATGCAATATCTAGGGACATATCTGTCTTTTGCAAAACCACGTGGTACTCTCGTGATTAGAACAGGGAGAAATGCACTCGTGTCTGTTTCTGAATATATAAATTGAAGATTCAGTCATAGGCAAAGTTGCTACAATAACACATGAAGATAAACTCAAACGAATAGGAAACATAAACTGCAAAAATCTGAAGAGAAGAAGGGCTTTGGCAAGTAGAGTGGATCAGTTAGTATCCACCCTTGAGATCGTTCACGACATCGTACGGGATAGGAGTGACAGTCTCCAAGGTTGCGCCTTCGACCATGAAACCTGGTTTCGGCCCTTTGGGCTGTCTCTTGGTGCTGATCACCTCGCCTTTGGCCTTGGCCTCCGCTTTCAGCTCATCATTCTTCTTCTTCCTCAGCTTGAACTCCTCGGCACACCTTGACTGCTGCACATGCTCGATTCGGACGTGGATCCTCTTCCTGATTATCCTGTTACCCACCTGAGAAAAAACCCAGTACATATGTTGTCTGAGAGTTAGGATAGGTCCCAATCTATGTTACAACAGCCTAATATCCGGTTCAGAGACTGAAGACATTGCCTGAAGGACCATTTTTATGCAGACAGAGGTAGTATAATCCGAGACGAATGTGTAATAAAAAAAATAGATGGGCGAATGCAGTGTCAGCCGGGGATACACATCACCATATGTGATCTGAGTTAGGTTCCATAATGTTACAACAACCTAATAACCGATATAGAGAAAAAGGCATTGCCACAAAGATCATTTATGTAGTGAGAGGTAGTATAATCCGAGGCAGATGTGTAATCAGTAATAGATGGTCGAATTCGGTATAAAGCAGTGTCTACTGCGGATACAAATAGCAACATCATATGCAATGACGGGTGCTTTAGAATGTTAAGAACCGAATAAAGACGGTACATAAATTACACAAAGCAGTAGGTCAGGTACGAGGAAATCTACATGGATGTTTATAACTTACAAAATGAAAAGAGATGGTTGTATAATGAAGGAGCAAACACATGGATGAACAAGACTATACAAACAGATCATGTAATGTCAATTCACCATTGTGAAACAAGGATCAAGATGAGACATTTCAGAGAGCAAATACACCAAGAACACACAACCATCACAAAACAAGAATCTGGAAAGAATGCTCTCTCACTTTCTTAGCTCAAAAGTTATGAACTTTATTGCGTCAAAGAACCAAATTTAACACTTGCACTCACAAATCATTCCCTATAATTCGATACGTAACGTACAACAACGATTTTATTACCTTAAAATCGATTATAGAATTGCATAATTGGAGCTAAAATCAATGCCCATTTCGAAGTTTAACGGATATAGCTCAAACCTAACTCAGAAAGCTACGAGTCCAAAGCTTGCAAGGTTTAGCAACAATCTCCAGAAGAAATTCAAAACCCATCCTAGAAAATGATCACCGATGCAACACTAGCGGAAACGCAAACATAGAGAGATGAGGTTCGAACCTGTTTGTTGACTTCGACGCCGACGGCGCGCTTGGTGACGTTCCAGATGCGACCGGTGCGTCCATGGTAGAACTTGTGAGGCATGCCCTTGTGAACGGCACCATTGACCTTTACATCGACATAGTCTCCGACCTTGAAGGTCCTGAGGTACGTTGTCAGTGGGATGTAACCCTTCTTCCTGAAACCCCTCGCGAACAGATCCCTGGTTCGTGCTCTCACTCCATGACCCGCCGGCATTTTTCTACCTCACAAGAACACACTCTCCCTCTGGACGTATCGGCGGCTAATACCCAAGTATCGCCGAAGAGATCCTCCATTATATATATGCAGTGGAACTTGATTTAGGGTTTTTTTTTTTCTGTTCGGCCCATCCGATCACCTAATTGGGCTTGTTAGTGAATTGCTAAAACATCCCTATATTATCAAAGTATTAGATTTCTTGCCCCAGATTTCCATTTTTGGTATCAGTTTTTTTTTTTCCATTTTATAACAATTATACTTTCCTTCAGATTATATTCAATTCCTAGTTTAAGATATATAAAAAATTACTTTTATTTTTTATTTTCTGAATTCGAGTTTTTTTTTTCAATTTCTTCATTCGAATTCGATTAATTTGATTCAAATCCAAATGTCCACCACTAATAAAAATATATGATCGTAAAGGAATCTCTATGAAACTTTGAAAAGGGCGAAGCTCGAGAGAAAAAGAGTTCTATTTATGGAATACAAATCATAAACAGAGAAGCTAAAACTAAATCCGTGACAACAAAATTTTACAGCGTCCAAAATGAGAGCAAGATGCAGAGGAGGAAAGGGTTACACTACTCTCTTCAACAAGGGGAACAATACAATGGCCGTGGCCATGGGTTTTGATCTTAGATAAGCTTCTTCTTTTGGAAGTAATGCTTTAGGTATACTATCTGTAAACCCGAGGCGGCGATGCAGATTCCCAACGACATTATGCTTAACCACGCTACCCGAGAGTTCGTTTTCTCACTCACAATCCTCATCTCGGCTTCTCTGTATGCATATATCGATTTCAACAGAGTGGAATTAGAGAACGAGAATCCGGTAAGAGGGGGAATGCAGCGAGCTCTTAGGGCACAACTATGGAGAGTTTACCTTGTCTTAAGGTAGAGTAAGTTTTCATGGATGGCCTCGACTGCACCTTCGAGTTTCCTGAGCTCCAGCTCGACGCCCTGTGTTAAGGAGCAAGTGGGATGTCATAAAAGGGCAAGCTTTAGGGATTTTTTTCGACATTCCAATGAAAATTTATGACCAAATATTATAAAAAGTGTTTTTTTTTTTCTCTAAACTTTAAGAGGTGGGAATTTCAACATATGCTCTTATAATGCTGTTAAATACTTTGAAGCTAATATAAACTAAAAGTTTCTACACATAATGTAGTTTCAGTCGCGAGAAAAGAAAAAAAAACCCTTGAATTTATTTCCTCTGAGATGCGTTTTAAGAAAGCGGTAAACTTTACACAGGAATTTACCTCGATCTTCTCTTTTTTAGCGATGGAGTCCCAATCCTTGGCACTTATCCCGGTTTTCCAGTCAAGGTTGATGCTAATATCTTTGTTTCCATGACTATGCCCTTCAGCCCAAAAGCATGCCAAGTAGTTCCCAGATTCTTGGGTTGTAAATGCAAATTGACCATGTGTTACGTTTTCCTGGTGATACAGATTGCTTCCATATGGGGATGTCACCTGCAAGAACTCGGAAAAGAAAGATAAGAGTTTGTTAAAGTTTTGTCGGAAAATTGAGAGAGAAAGAGGAGAAAGCAACAGAAAACACCTTCACTGCAGTCATACAGACATGTAATTATGTGAACTCGATCGATTGCACTTTCTACTACAATCCACCAAACCATGAGAAACCCTAAAACATCATCCAGGGCTAATGTCTAACTAATACTTGCTCATTACAGTCAAATATATCTCAGGGAATTTTGATGCAAACATTCTACTAGGAGGCTATCTACACACTACAGACAGCTTGCGTCATTCACAGACCAAACACGACTTCCCTTTGAATGCCAGTTTTCCATTCAGTCGATTCAGTTTCGATTACAAGACAAAACCTCTGCATCAAGCTAAAATTGTTCATCCGCAAGCTATCGACAATGTTCTAAAAGAAAAACAGAGAAATCAAGAAAATTTGCCCCCAGACATTTGAGAGTTCCCACCCACTAAGATACGAATGTTTAAAACGCCAAACTTGAGCAGAGACCATTCGCATAATGCTCGCTTAACATACCCATCGTCCCTATTCGAATTTCTCTTCGATGAATCCATCAAAATCTTGTTCTGCTTCAGTTTTTGTTGTGCAGATAAGATTTCCAAAGACTTGAAATGTCAGAAGAGATTATTTCCTAATCGATACGCAGTTAAGAGAGCATTGATGATTGATTGGCATTGAACGAACTGCGCAGAGGCAGCTATTCAAGAATCACATCATAATCAAGAATCCAAGCAAACATATACACGTATATATATTCAAACGCTGATATGTAATGGCAATCGAAGAACATCATGGGAACAATTCGATAAAACATTTGTAGCCATAAAAAGGAAACCCGTGAAAAAGGAGAGCCAATTCGGACATCAAACCATGCATTTTCTAACAAATTCATTCAAATATCACGGTGAAAATGTCATACAAAACGAAGAAGTATCTGGTAAAGGTTCCGGATCGAGACCGTAGTTCAGATTCAAACCGCAGATCGTCGACTAAGAAAACACCGAGAAATTACCTTGACGGAGAGAGTGGGTAAGACGGAATGATCTTCGGAGATTACGAGGTAGTCGGCCAAGACAACAACGTTGCTCTGAATTTCCTCAGAGACACACTTGGTTCCCGTCGCCGGCACGTTCAACCAAATCGCCTCGCCGCCCGGAATAATCCCCGGCGACAGAAACAACAGAAGCGCTGACAGAACGAGCGCCGTCGGAAAACCACGCTGCATCTGAGAAGTCATCATCATCTTCTTCGATCAGTCTCTGACCGGATAGTGTCTTCGATCCTCAAACTTTCCGATAATATCGTCGACCATGGACCGTGGACCGTGGTACTGTTTGCCGTCCTTAAAAACTGTGTCGTTTTCTAATTAATTTCTATTTTCTTTTTTGCTGTTTAAATTTTTTGTCATCCCATCTTTCTTCTTGAAGCCCAATAGTGTGGATTGGGCTTCTTGATGGGCCCAAAGCATGTCCAAAGGTATTCGAGATTGAGATTGTGAAAAAAAATATATTTTCTTTTTTTAGATATATACAAAATTCATAAATTGCATAAAAGAAACATTTTTCATAAAGATTGAATAAGCATATCATTCTGTCACATTCGTAGGGTCTGAATTCGGATTTTTTTCTGCAAGTTTTGGGGTTACTGTACTGGTTCTGTATTCTGTGCATTGAAAAGCTTAAGTTCTATGTCAACAATGGTGGTTTTGGTTTACTTTCTCTCTTACCTGAGAATATAAAGCTTATTCCTTTCGACGTTCTCTCTCCTCTTTTCCCGTTTCGCCGAAATGGGTCACCACTTGTAGACATTGCACCCGAATCGAATCACACTTTATGAATCAAAGAGGCGGAGAGTAAGCGTAAGCTCACCCGTAAGCTCTACGAGCTTCCCTTCAATTTTCCTCTCCCTCGCCCCCCAAATCTTCGATTCCTATGTTTCCAAAACCCTAAATCCGTTCGCTTTCTGAAAAAACCCTTCGTCATTCGTCGAATGGTCGCGGAGAAATTCGTGGGTCCGTCGTGAAAAAGTGCCAGAGAGAGAGAGAGAGGATGTGGTCGATGAATCTGCTGAGGCGTGGGGCCATGGCCGCCAGGAGTAGGGTTTCACAGAGGAACAAATTTGGTGGGTTCAGGAGCCTCACCGCCGTCGAACCACCGGCGGCTGAGACGGTGGAGGCGGCGAAGGCGACGGAGACGGCGAAGGAGGAGAAGGAGTTAACGGCGGAGGAGGCGAAGAAGCTGATGAGACTGGTGAATGTGGAAGATCTGAAGAAGAAGCTTTCGGCCATGGCGGATAAAGAAGTGATTCCTTACGAAGCCCTGTTAGAGGAGTCTCAGAGAATAGGAATCTCCAGATCTCTGGACGAAGCTCAAACCTTTGCTCGTGCCCTCGACGCCGCCGGAGTTCTTCTCATTTTCCGGGGAAAAGTCTATCTTCATCCCGACAGGGTCTGGTCCTCTCTCTCTCTCCATCTGGGGGTTGTCTCCATATCTGCACAATCATCCTCTGTTTCTGTTCTTAACTCTAATGTCTCAGACTGTTTAAGCAGGTGGTGGATTTGGTCCGAAGGGCAATACCCATTGCTCCAACTCCCGAGGATGATCCAATGAGGGAAGAATTCGACAAGCTGAAGATCATCAAGGAAGAAATCGATGTTCTTGCTCATAAACAGGTCAGGAAGATTCTATGGTGTGGTCTCGCAGCTTCTGTTGTCCAAATCGGATTCTTCTTTCGACTAACGTTTTGGGAATTCTCATGGGATGTGATGGAACCCATTGCGTTTTTCACCACTTCCACTGGCATAATCGTGGGTCATGGCTATTTTCTCGTGACTTCAAGAGATCCTTCATATCAGGATTTCTTGAAGAGGCTGGTTATCTCCAGGCAGAGGAAATTGTTCAAGGAGTATAAGTTTGATGTTGAGAGGTACAAGGAATTGGAGAAGAAGTGTAAAACCTCGTCTTGTCATACTTCTTAGGGCTGGGCGTGGGTACCTGAGACCCGCGGGTTTCCGGTCGTGCGGGTATTTGCTAAGTACCCGAATATGAATAAAACGAGGATTATATCTTTGATATTTTAATGTATTTACAATAATACCTAAATATATTTTCAACTAAAATTATCAATATATCCCTAAAGTCAATAAAGTCAACAGTTTTTGACGGATTCGTATATACTTGGATCGGGATATTCGGACTTCATACTATTTTTCTAAAATCCTTGAGGACGAAGTCGAATACGGATACCTCAAAATATCCTGTGCCCACCTCTGATTGCTTCTGCCTCTTTTAGAAACCATGTAGGGTTGGAGCTTGATCTGGAGGAATCCTTGCACAAAGGCTGATCCTTTGATGCTGGAAAGATCCAAAGAATCTGAGAGAAGAGTCTTGCAGGATTTTGTGAAATGGGTTTGGAGAATGGCTTGGAAAAAGATTGGTGCATCTCTCTGGTAACCCTTGTTAGGTTTTCCACTTAATGGTCCAATCCAAGTATGGAAGAGACTTTCAAAGCGACTCATTCTGGTCTCTTGGCTTTGGTTGTTCATGTATCTAACCAAGATATTTATAACCCAATCAAAAGTTTGAAAATATCCGTTTAGGATGTCCAGTTGGTTTCATTAAATTGCTTTAAATCTTATATAAGATTCTCTCCTGACAAATCCAGATCACCCTCTACTTGTTCTTCTCTTCCATTTTTTTTTTCTCAGAGTTTTATAATTTATGATCGAACCGATGGATAGATCGACGAATCAGAAGGAGTGTTTAATCTATCTCTGTCACTTTAATGTATAAAATCTTTCAAAATGGCAAAAGAAAAAAAAAAGGTGAAAGATTTTTTTTTTTTTTTGGAATCTCATAAAGGTTCCAACTTTTTCGGTATTTACAGTCCGTGCCATCATCATCTGCTGCTTCGTTCAGTCCACCGTTTTCTTCTGAGAAATGTTTCCGGCGAGGCCGACCTTCTCCTTGCTTTTCGTGTAAACCTCGCTCTCTCTCTTCAATTATTATATATACACATACTAACATATGTATATATAATCGGGAATTTGCCCATGATTCGAAACGTGGGCATACGTAGAGTAGTACAGTGGTCCCTTCACTGTCTTGGGTAGGGAGCTCAAAAGAGCAGAGTGCACAGTTCACAGAAACGGTGACGGAGAATTTGGTTGTGGCCTTCTCTGAGAGAGACTGCTCAAAGGATCAGATCTTGGTTTCATCTTTGCTCAAAAGGGTCATCATCGATTCTTCCGAAAGGTGAGTGCTTTCTCCTCTGATCTTGTCCTTTTCAGTTCTCCAACTCTTGTCTTTACTAGATGAGTTCTGGGTCTGTCGCTTGTCTGATGGATGATGAACCCTAGCAGTGTTCATGTGATCAGTGTGGATATACCTCTTTCTGAATCAGGGTTTTGAACTCAAAGTGTATTTGGATCTTTGTTCTTCTTCAGGTTGAAAAATGTCAGCCTCAAGGCCGAGTCAGGCTTCTGGTAACTCCAGGCGCTCCAGGAACAGCGCCAGGATCATTGCACAGACCACTGTAGATGCCAAGCTCCATGCCGATTTCGAGGAATCGGGAGATTTTTTCGATTACTCGAGCTCAGTTCGTGTAACTGGTCCTGCCGCCATGGAGGAAGATCAACCATTGAAATCTGACAAGGTGACTACAGCTTACCTTCATCACATACAGAAGGGTAAGCTGATTCAGCCCTTTGGTTGCTTGCTCGCCTTGGACGAGAAGACCTTCAAGGTCATAGCTTACAGCGAGAATGCCCCAGAGATGTTGACCATGGTCAGCCACGCAGTTCCCAGTGTTGGGGAACACCCTGTTCTTGGCATAGGGACAGACATAAGGACTCTTTTCACTGTTCCCAGTGCCTCTGCCTTGCACAAGGCCCTTGGATTTGGAGATGTTTCTCTCTTGAATCCCATTCTTGTTCACTGCAAAACTTCTGCAAAGCCCTTTTACGCAATTGTCCACAGAGTGACAGGGAGTATCATCGTTGATTTCGAACCGGTCAAGCCCTCGGAAGTTCCCATGACAGCAGCCGGTGCTCTGCAGTCTTACAAGCTTGCAGCCAAAGCAATAACCAGACTGCAGTCATTGTCGAGCGGGAGCATGGACAGGCTTTGCGACACGATGGTCCAGGAGGTTTTCGAGCTCACGGGCTACGACAGGGTGATGGCCTATAAATTCCACGAAGATGATCATGGCGAGGTTATCTCCGAGGTTACGAAATCCGGGCTGGAACCATATCTGGGTTTACATTATCCAGCCACCGATATCCCTCAAGCTGCCCGGTTCTTGTTCATGAAGAACAAAGTCAGAATGATAGTTGATTGCCAGGCAAAACACGTAAAGGTGCTTCAAGACGAGAAGCTGCCATTTGATCTTACCCTTTGTGGCTCAACCCTTAGGGCACCCCATAGCTGCCATCTCCAGTATATGGACAACATGAGTTCTATCGCCTCTCTTGTTATGGCCGTGATTGTGAACGAGGAAGAAGGAGATGGCAGCCATGACTCTGCACCTGCACAGAAGAAAAAGAGACTATGGGGTTTGGTGGTTTGCCATAACACAAACCCGAGGTTCGTTCCATTTCCTCTTAGGTATGCCTGTGAGTTTCTTGCCCAAGTGTTTGCCATTCATGTCAACAAGGAGCTTGAGCTGGAGAATCAGATCATGGAGAAGAACATTTTACGAACTCAAACACTATTATGCGATATGCTGATGCGTGATGCACCGTTAGGCATCGTGTCGCAGAGTCCAAACATAATGGACCTCGTGAAATGCGACGGAGCAGCCCTTCTGTACAAGAACAAGATCTGGAAACTGGGAGTAACGCCAACTGAGTTCCAGATTCATGGGATAGCTTCATGGCTGTCTGATTACCACATGGATTCCACTGGTTTGAGCACAGACAGCTTGCACGATGCCGGCTTTCCGGGGGCTCTAGCCCTCGGAGACTCAGTGTGTGGAATGGCGGCTGTGAGGATAACTTCAAAAGACGTTATTTTCTGGTTCAGATCTCATACCGCAGGGGAAATAAGATGGGGAGGCGCAAGGCATGAACCGGGCGAGAAGGATGATGCCCGGAGAATGCACCCAAGGTCATCTTTCAAGGCTTTCCTTGAGGTGGTCAAGACGAGGAGTACGCCATGGAAGGATTATGAAATGGATGCCATCCATTCCTTGCAGCTCATTCTGAGGAATGCTTTCAGTGACGTTGAGACAACTGATGCCAACACAAATAAGGGGATGATCCACTCAAAGCTAAGTGATCTGAAGCTGGATGGTGTCCAAGAACTGGAAGCTGTGACGAGCGAGATGGTGCGGTTGATCGAGACAGCCACTGTCCCGATCTTGGCCGTTGATTCTGATGGGTCAGTGAATGGCTGGAACTCCAAAATAGCGGAGCTAACCGGTCTTCCAGTCGATGAAGCCATCGGACAGCATCTACTGGCACTCGTTGAGGATTCTTCGGTTGAAAGAGTGAAAAGGATGTTGGAGATGGCGTTGGAGGGTAAGTACCAGTACATCATGCTTTAGGGATATTGCTGCCACATTCTTCGCTGTTCTAGTTCCAAAAATTTGGGTCTAGGGATAGACGCAGGCCGGGTATCCAAATTTTTTAGGGTATCCTATCTCGTCCTAAGTCTTGCGGTATTATGTAGGCATTATCTCAGTTTCGATCTTGCGAAACTTGAGTACCCGCAATCTAGATACCGGGAGACCAAGACCGAGACTCGCAATACCCGAACTCATAAAAATTTACTAAATTTCGTTGACTTATGTTGACTTTAGAGGTATATAATTACTTAGAACATAAGTGGTATTTTAGTTGTTTTCTAAAAGATACGATACCAACGAGATAATCTGTAAAAAAATAATAGAATTCGAACCTGAACTCATCTCACGGATACCTGAGTACTCGTGAGACAAGATACCCGAAAATCCACCGGTCTCGGGTAAAAAAGTCCAGTCCTGATTGGGTCCAGATGCAAGTGAAGAAACCTGCTCTATACTAAATGGGAAAGACCCTCTTTCTCTCTAGCTATGTTGACTTAAGATTATGAGCATGTATCATGAACAACTTCTCTTGTACTTATGCAGGAACTGAGGAGCAGAATGTGCAGTTCGAGATCAAGACACACGGGTCGAGGCTCGATAACGGGCCGATACGTTTAGTTGTCAACGCATGTGCAAGCAAAGATCTCCAAGAAAACGTGGTCGGAGTGTGTTTCGTGGCACAAGATCTCACCGCTCAGAAGCATGTGATGGACAAGTTCACTCGGATTGAAGGCGACTACAAGGCCATCATCCAAAATCCAAACCCGTTGATCCCTCCCATATTTGGTACTGACGAGTTCGGGTGGTGCACAGAATGGAATCCAGCAATGGCGAACTTAACCGGGTGGAAACGAGAGGAAGTCATCGATAAGATGCTGTTAGGAGAAGTCTTTGGAACACAGATGGCCTGTTGTCGTCTTAAGAACCAAGAATCCTTTGTGAACCTCGGGATTGTCCTGAATAACACCATGACCAGTCAGGACTCCGAGAAAGTGGCATTTGCTTTCTTCACGAGGAGCGGAAAGTATATAGAGTGTTTGCTGTGTGTGAGCAAGAAACTGGACCGGGAAGGTGTAGTGACCGGTGTCTTCTGTTTCCTGCAACTCGCAAGCCACGAGCTTCAGCAAGCCCTTCATGTCCAGCGTCTGTCTAAGCAAACTGCCTCGAAGACACTGAAAGCAATAGCTTATATGAAAAGGCAAATCAAGAATCCTCTGTCCGGGATTATATTTTCAAGGAAGATGATGGAGGGCACTGAACTAGGTCCAGAGCAGAGACAGATTTTGCAGACTAGTGCACAGTGCCAGCTGCAACTTAGCAAGATCCTCGATGATTCAGATCCCGACAGTATCATTGAAGGGTAAGCAGGAAAAACCCGAGATCTTCCTAGGCTCGTCAGGGTTTCTATTATCTGATTTCTCCTCTTGCAGGTACTTGGATCTGGAAATGACGGAATTCAGCCTGAATGATGTTTTGACTGCTTCCACAAGCCAGATAATGATGAAGAGCAACGGGAAAAGTGTCCGAGTAACGAACGAGACGACAGAAGAAGTAATGAACGATACCTTGTACGGAGACGGCATCAGGCTTCAACAAGTCTTGGCCAATTTCATGATCATGTCTGTTAGTTTTACACCACCTGGAGGGCAGCTCGCTGTTACAGCCAGCCTCAGGAAAGACCAACTGGGTCAATCTGTACATCTCGCTTATCTGGAGATCAGGTTTAATAAACTACAAACATGAAGTTTGAATCGAAATTTGAAAAAGACAAGTCTATGATGATGTGATTGAGAAAAAAATGTGTTTTTTTTTTCCGAACAGGATTACACATTCAGGATCTGGAATACCGGAACTGTTGCTGAATGAGATGTTTGGGAGCGATGAAGATGTGTCGGAGGAAGGGATGAGTCTTCTGATAAGCCGAAAGCTGGTGAAACTGATGAACGGAGACGTGCATTACTTGAAACAGGCCGGGAAGTGTACTTTCATTATCACAGCTGAACTCGCGGCTAAGAACAAATAAAATCTCTATGGCTAATCAACTTCGCATTTCCCCCCTGTTGTAACTTTTTCACATGTTTTTGTTTCCTCTCATTCAAAACTTCAATAACAAAAGAAGGTCCTCTTTTCTGATCCTTTCCCCCTCCCTTTACTGTTTCATTTCCATGATGATTATCCAGAATGCATGATGATCACAAGCTTAAACTTTGCTGGGACAGATGATATGGTCATAAGATCTTTGTCTGCAGATTGTACTGACCGTTGCTTCTGTTCTTTGTCAGCGTAACTTGAAGAAATCGAAGATTGATCCGGTTTTGATAAGGATCTCTGATGGGATTCTCACCAGTAGTCTCTGCATGAGCAAAGACCACCAGCGAAGTGATGGAACCGAACTCTGTCCCTTACAACAATTTCCCGGTTGAATGCTTTCGAAACATACTTTGTGAACGAATGACAGTCCCTGCAAACTCTCAGGTTTTTCACGATCTGTAACCTTTTCCCTTCAGGAGTTCTCATCAACCCGTAAGCAATGGCCAACTTCTCGCTGTGAAAGCTATCCTCTGATCCTGAACTCTGATCATATGAATCGGTAGTAACTCCATTGCTCGAGCCCTCCGGTTCATAACCTGCCAGTTTTGCTCTACTGATCACTTCCCGCAATCCTGAGTAAATCTCTGCAGACCCTGGATGGGTTTTGTCATCGACGACGAACCTGTGGATTTCGTTATCGATCTCAATCCAACTCCAACCAGGCGTTGTTTCTATGCCCTGCCTTCGGATTAGCTTCCTCATTCTGGCAACACCTTTTCCGTCGTTGGTTGCAGAATATATCGAAGCCATTAGGACACAATCCCCTGCGTTGAATGCCCCGAGCTGAACCAGCTTCTCCATGGCTACTTGTCCCATCTCCGCATTCTTATGGATCTTGCAAGAACTGAGAAGGGTTCTCCACAAGACGGGATCTTCTGGTGCAGAAGAGGTGAGTATCATCTCGAGGGCCTTGTCTAGCTGACCCGATCTTCCGTAGAGATCAACCATGCATCCATAGTGTTTAATCCCAGGTTTCAGATTGAACTGGGAAGTCATCATCTCGAAATGTTCAAGCCCCTCCCTCACTAAGCCTTGATGACTGCAACCAGACAACAATCCGAGGAACGTTATGCCATTGGGTTTCATCCCACTACTCACCATCTTTCTGAAGAATTCGATGGCCTTTCCGCCATGTCCGTGAACTCCATGTCCAGCGATAATCGAGTTCCAGGTTAACACATCTCTCTTCTGCATTCCGTCGAAGATACTGACTGCATCTTTGAGGCTACCGCATTTGGCGTACATATCGATCAGTGCATTCCTCACGTAGATGCTGCTCTCGCAGTTTGTATCAATAGCGATTCTGTGCATCTCGATTCCCATGTTCAAGGCACCAACGTGAGAACAAGATGACAGCAAAGCCACGAGCGTGTAAGTATCGACAGGTATGCCTTCATTCGCCATGCGAATGTACATACTCAATGCCTGATTGTGTAAACCAGCTCGAGAAAAGCACGATATCATTGCATTCCAGGAAACCAAGTCTTTGAGAGGCATTTCGTCGAACACCATCGATGCAGCTTCGATACGTCCGTTCGCAGCGTAACATCGGATAAGATTGGTGCAGACAACAGCATCGGAGGCAAACCCATGTCGGATAATCGAAGCGTGAAGCTCCAGAGACTTGGGAACAGCGTGAAGAATCTCGCATGCTTTGAGAGCGAAGGTGAAAGTGAAGATGTCAGGTTGGGAAATGGAGGAAACGAGCATGCGATTGTAGAAGAGAAGAGACGAGAGAGGAGAAGAAGACAGAGCGAAGCCGCGGATGATGGAATTCCAAGCCTGCGTCGATGGGTTTTGGATGCCATTGAAGAGAAGCAGAGCATACGACAAGGAACCACTCACAGAGACGGCGCAGAAGTTGAGAAGCTTGTCCAAGAGCGAAGGATCGTTCTGTAAACCGTTGATGAAGACATGGGTATGAATCTTACGCAGTCGATTCATGCCGTTGCATCCTTGAAGCAACCTCAATATCGCTTTCGCTTTCTCGCTCATCTCTCCGACCGAAACCCGACGAAACCAGAGTCGGCTTCTGAACAACACATGGGATGATTAGGTCAAAGTGTTGACCATCGATTTGGCGGCGAAACCCATACCGAAAGTTGCAGCCTTTCGGTCGTTGAGGAGTTGAAACAAGCGGTGGTAACAGCGACTGAGTTATGAAGACGTCAAGCCCAGAAAAGCAGCCATTGATGATGACAGGGAAAAGGAAGGAAAATATGCAGATATGCCCAAAATGGTGTCAATAACCAAAGAATACCAAAAATGTCAGTTTCCTGAGAATCTGAGAACAACAACAACAAAAAAAGAATCTAATCATGAAAATGGTTTAGGCCACAATTTAAGGTTTGAATTTCCATAGCTAAACCCCAGATTTCTTCATTAAAATCACATGTTTGTTCACAATTTATATGGTGCACTGCATTGTCTGTTCATGCTCATTTCATTGAGGAAGAAGAAAATGGAGCAGCAGCTTCTGTGGATTTTTTTTTTTGGTAAATGACTGTTCTGTATTGAGCTGCAGACTAATCGCGAGACTGAGTAAAGTCGTGTGATTAGAATTTGCATTTTCATCTCTGATTTGATATTCGAACTCGGAGCGGAATAAACGTTTTACATCCCTATTTCACCTATTGAACTATTCAAGTTAGGTGCTTCTGTAAATTTGGGTAATGATTTTCTTCGGCATTTCTGCAAATGGGTCCATGGATTTAGATGAAACGGTGGGGTTGATGAACAGAGTTGTTCTCCTTGATCGGCATTTTTGGGTACAATCACTTCATGCCAATGATCCAAATGACAAGAACCGTGGTCCAAGATTGTAGATTGCGGATTGAACCACACCAAATGCAGCGTGATTGCCTCTCTCAGATCAAGTTCCTGCAACTTGTTGCAAATCCTGATGTCTTCTTGCTCGGAAGAAGATTTAAGCGTAGAAATCGAGCTCCATACTAAAAATCCCGGTCTTTTCGAAACAAGGTTCGAAATATCTGTTTGGGGTAGGAGGTAACTCCACCTTGAAGTTGAGTGTTCGATTCCTGACTGGTGGGGAGGGAGTTAATTCTGGGTTTATATGATCCATATACAAAGGTTGTTTCCGAACCGGAAGTTTACCTAGTCAAGGGTAGCAGGTAGGGGTCATCCGTTATAAAAATTTCAACAAAAAAAAAGGTTCGAAATATCTGACTTTGCTATGATCATGGATCATCGTTTACACTGCAAAATGAAATCTTTTCGATCGTTATTATATCGTTACATAAAATATATGTATATATATGTGTGTGTGTGTAATAGATGTGTCTTCTTGTTCTTGTAAAAACAAAACAGGGGATTGGTACGTTGAAAGAGGAGGAGCAAAGCCCATAGGCACTGCTTTGACACAATTCGGTCTTCGGCTCAAAGTGATCTCATTTTTTTCTTTTTCTTTTTTTTTCATTAAATTTTATTTTTATTATTACAAGGGCATATCATGGTTATCAATTTATTTAAAGGAAGCAATAAGGGACAAAAAAAGAAGAAAAGCGTGATGCTTTGATTTTTCATTTCTTTTGTTACATCTATAAGAAATAACGAAAATATTCGAAAAATTATCAGTAATATTTGATTTATGTCTCGAATGGTGAGTATTTTTGGAGTTTTTAGAATCCAAAAACAAAAAAAAACATCATTCAAGTTTTTACAAAATTAATTTTCCTAAAAATTTGGAAATCCATTTTAGTGAAAAAATTAATGAAAAACCAAAAACTACTTTTTTTGAGTTTTCAAATATTATAAAATCTAAAAGCCAAAAATCAAAAACTAAAAACCAAAATCCAAAAACTAAAACCAAAACTCCAAAATAAAAACCATTTCCGTTCAAAGCCTTAGTTTGTTTCAATAAAACTTATCCACATGGATACCACTAAACACATTCTCGTGTTAAAATATATTAAGCAATGAATTATTTTTTTATAATTTTAACAAATAAAATAAAATTTAAATTTTTTAATAACTGTTTTACTCTCTTATTCCGTGGAACATGCTTCCTTCCTGTCATATTGAAGTTAAAACAATTTTTAAATAATAATTTTTTTCAATACATAAAATACAAAAAGGTATATTATAAAAAAAAAATATTATAGATAATGGTTTCGAATGTTCCATTGAGAACGAATAAAACCGTCAAACCCTAATTTAGATTGTATTAATAAAATGTCTCGTGAAAAAAAGTTGTCTTAAATCAATCTTAGGTTAGGGAGGTTAGGCTTTTGGCCCTATAAGAAAAACGGGCCCACCGAGGACATTTACGTACTTTGTAAAACGAATAGAAAACTATATCTCTAATTTTCAACCGATGTATTTTTATCTTTTTTTTTGGTAAATTGATTTTTTTTCTTTCCTACCAAAGAAATTCTCAATCCTCTGATTATATATATATATATATATATATATATATATATATATATGTGTGTGTGACAGTGTGTGTGTGTGTGTGTGTGTTATATCGTAAGCTTATTTATACAAGTTTTTTTTGGCAGTCTTAAACACATTTTCTTATTAAAATCTATCAAAAGGAAAACCCTTTTATATTTGGCCCTTTGTAATTCGGTTTACGTATGCAAAATAGAATTTATAAATTAAATATAATCTAATTCGATTAATTATACTTTTTTCTCAAATTAAAACCTAAAACAAATATAACAGTGGCCGAAAAATTGGACGAAATATTTTTTAAAAAACAATTTGTTAATAAAATAAAATCTGAACTAAATTTTAATGCGAGTTCAATCTAATTAAACAATTAATATAAAGATATTTGAATATAATTTTAATAAAATTGAAAAAGTAAAACCGAAACAAATCAAATTAAAATATAATCAAAATTCGAGATATTGACCCTCAATTTGAATATAATAATTTTTTTTTTGGTTGGATGGAAGTGGAAAGCAAAAGATTCCACGACATTCTTTTGTTTGCCTAAGGTACAAAAAACTGATCCTTTAAGTGAAAACTCGGACAAGTTCGTGCCATAAAATTCATGAATTATATATTAATTAAAAAAAGATTTTGTTGAATATAAGCAATTTTCAAAGACGAAAAATGCCCTTTTTTCTTCCTTTTCATCTAATATAAAAACAACACTATGATTGGCGTTTGTAGGTCCAATAATTTGGTTCACAGTCACATGCGTTATCGGTCCCATAACCCCTTATTCTACGTAAAATCAGCCCCTTGAGTGAAGAATATATTTTAGTAATTGTCTGAATATAATAAATAAATAAATAAATTATATTTGAATTTATTGTTAGAATCGGATCGATGTAAAATTGAGGTTTTGTAGTTCTATAGAATTGGGGCTGGAGGTTTGTCAATAGAAACCACCGCACTTTTTATAAGATCTGAATTGTTTTATGTTTCTATTTTTTATCTATTAAAAAATTAAATTAGATGAATGGTATATGAATGTTAATCTGTATATCTATTTATCAAAAAAAATTATATAAAAAAACTTTTATATCTTATGTTCAGATTCAAATATTTCATCAAGAAATGCGAAAGAAAATATATTTTCTATAGCTATAACCGATAAAATCTGAAATATGACTGACTATGAGGATAATTTACCGGTAGAATATTCCGGCGCCGGTGAGTGACTAAACAAAAAAACATAAGTAAATAAACTAATTAAAACTTATCTTTTTTGTGTGTGTGTTAACTGATTACAACCCTAGAAATCGTGGTGCCGAAATTACTTGGATCACCATGGGTTCATGGGGATGAGGATGTCAATTTTGGCACTAGGCTCAAAATTGACTCGGCCCAACCCAAAAAATTTCGGGTCGAGATATTTAGATCCAAAAATTTTTAAATTTTCGGACCGACCCAAAAATTTAAATTTTCTTTAAAAAAATTGATAAAAAATTTTAAAAAATTAAAACCAAATGTAACGGGTCAATCCGAAGTCTATAGGGTTAGGTTTCAGGTTTGATTATTCAGACCCAAAAACATCGGGTCGACCTGAGCCCGAAACCCTCAAACCGAATGCAGGTTCGGATCGGGCCGATTCGATTGACACTCTAATGGGAACCAAATAACGGTGTTCTATAATAATAATAATAATAAAAGTTAATACGATTAGTTTTAAAAATTTTATATTCGCTTAGGTTTTGGATAATTTGGTTCTAATCATTTTTGAGATTATATTATAAGTTAATACGATTAGATATTATTGGATGCGGTTTAGACCGATTTTGCTTTGTTCGAACCGAAATATATATACATGAACTAGGCCCTAATAAAATGAATGATTATATTTATACGTATATGCACAGACACATTAGTAAACAAAGAGTATATATGTATATTTTTGTAACAAAAGGATTCAAAACAAGTATATATAGTATGAGACTGAAATTTACAGAGAAGGAAGAAGAACACCAAAGTATAAGCCACACTTACAGAAAACGACAACATGCCCAATGAGTCATTACCATACAGAAGAATTTCTTCAATGTATGTACGTATACATATATATAGTATATATATGTGTGTTAAAATCAAGCTAAAGGGTCTGACCAAATGGCACGGTCGCATGGAAATCATGTTGGTTTTGGCTCCAAGGATCAGTGGATGCGTTCGAGTCATTGGCTAAGTAATCGGTGTTTGATTTCACCATCGGACCAACGTAAATGGGCTGAGAGCTTTGGCTTCCGACGAAGAACTCAGCGTTGAGTCCGCACTCTGACCATTTCATCTCTTCTTCCAAGGGATTGGTATTATCTTTTACGAGCGTTGGTGAATCCGTGATCGCCCACGTGAAGCCGCCGCCATTGTCGAAGAAACTCGAAGGACTGACGTTACTCTGCAATTCACCGCCACCGCCGTTGTTGGCGAAGCTTGATGAGCTCACTTCCCATGTCGGCGCCGCCGCCGCCTTGGGATGATGGTCTCCTCCAGAAACCCTGGAACTGGAACTGTTTCCCGTCGGGAGATTAACCGACGGCTTCACGCAAACCGGCGTCTGAAAGACCGAGTTTGGAACGGAACTCGGCATGCTACAGGAGAGCATCGAGGAGAGAAGGTTGGAGCTGAAATTAAGCTTCTGGAAAGCGAAAAAGTCGGATAAATCCGAAGCTCTCTCCGGGTAGAAGTCTTGATGATTAGCTGCAGATGAAGAACTCCGAGATGGGTTCACGAGTTTGGGCTCGTTATTACAGACAAGAGAAGACTTGTTGGACGGTGTTTCTGCAGGTGATGTTCTTGTCTGTTTTTCTTTATTGTCGCCATTGTTGTCAACCTCGGAGAGAGGCTTGTGCGTGTTTGGGTCAATCCCTTTCTGCTTAAGCTTCTTCTTGATGCATGAGTTCCATAGATTCTTTATCTCGTTGTCTGTTCTTCCCGGAAGCCTTGCAGCAATCTGAGACCACCTGGAAAAAAAACAGAACATAACATCAAACAAAAACCCGTGTCAGAGGGAAAAAAAAAGGCAATCCCCTTTTTTTTTCAAGATTTCGAATCAGATTCTTTCATCTTCATCACCTGTTTCCAAGAACAGAATGGAGTTCGATGATCAGATTCTCTTCCTCTGATGAAAAAGCCCCTCTCTTCAAATCAGGTCTCAGGTAGTTAATCCACCGAAGTCTGCAGCTTTTACCGCATCTCTGCAACCCTGTTGTGTTGAGTGACGGTTATGTCATTGTCTTTTTTTTTTCCGGGAAAGGAAAAGAAAAGAAAGGAAAGGAAAATACCGGCGAGTTTAGGAACAGAGCTCCAGCATCCATGGCCGTGTTTGGTGACGTGATTGAGGAGCTTCTCGTCCTCTTCGGGAGACCAGAGGCCCTTCCTTAGCTTCTGCTTGTAACAACAAGAATGTCGCCCCATGCCTTATATTGCAATGCTGAATTCCAAGCTTCTTGAAATCTATGCGTGTTTCAGCTGAGAAAAAGAGATGAAGACCATTAATGGCCGTTCTCAGAGAGAGAGAGAGAGAGAGAGAGAGAGAGAGAGAGAGAGAGATTCAGGGAGAGAAAATGAAGTAACAGAGCACAAGGGGAATGAGTATTAATATAGACCCAAAGAGTCGCCCTCGCAGAGGAGGGCTTTTATTGATGGATTTTTATTTTTTTATTTTAAAATAGAAAAAGATTTGCTGAGCTGGCATCTTCAAAGAAATACGATTGGTCCACGTCAGCTTCAGCCCCCTCGAAGGCTCATGTAATATTTTATCAGCATCAGCTTTTACACTCAAAACTCAATCTTTTAACTGGGATTAAATACTTAATCCAATCATCATTTCATTTTTCAACTTTTATAAAGTTTTGATTCCAACATAAAAATAAATCTTATGAAATATAATTCTTTCAAAACCAAATCCTAATTTTAGTTCTGATTTTCAAAGTTAATTGAAACAAAAAAAAAGGAACCATTTTCGAAGATGATTTAAGCCAACCCGATTACGTATAAACCCAAAATTATTAACCGACCAAAATATTCTTTGTATTATTATTATTTTTATTACAAAGGGAACAGTTAAAGTGAGAGGCGTCGAAATCAGGACACAAGAAAAAAAAAAAAAAAAAAAAAAAAAAAAAAAAATGGCAAACGAAGAATAAATCTATGGACGTTGGGATTAATGGAAAACGAGGAAGTTTCCGGGGCCATGAAGAAATGCCCATCTTTGGTTCTTATTTCTATAAATTATATTACCCGATTTTATTCGTTTGATAACGTAATTTGGAATTGATTTAGAAATTTTAGCTTAAATTAGATGGTTTCTTATGCAGATGAATGAGAAATATTATAAAGGATTTGGCTACTTTTGCCGCTATTTTTGTTTTGTTTTAATTTTATTATTTTTTCTTTTACATTTGTTCAATTGTTTTTTTTACATAAATTTAGTAAATAACCGACAGCGATATAGTATATTCCTTTTAAACTTTTGTAAGGGTCTTATTTTTTTAATAAAATTTATTTACATTTGCATTTATATAAAAAAAATCAAACTAATGATTTTAAATAAGCTACAACGATGTGGAAAAAAATAAGCTACAAACGAATATGTAAATATATATATATATAATAAATATATTACGATTTTCTTTCAGATTAATTTTGTGAAGTGTCCTTAGATACATTCTCTAATTGCATAATAATACTTCTAAGGAACAAAAAAAAAATCCAAAGTTTCATCTTAAATTTTAGTATAAGATTATATAAACTTTTACATAGATTAAAGATTATTCAAGTACTAAAAGATCACACATAATCATCATAGATATATAGTATAATTACCCATAAAAAATGACTGATTCTATAACCGCGTTTAGGATAGCGATTATGAACATTTTTAACTGTATTTGTTGGTGATGGTAAATGTTTTGTTGACTGATTTATACTGTAAACTATATATGATTTATAATTTTATTTCTACTTACATCATATACTATAATCAACAAAATTACACATAATTAGTTATAAAAAACAAATAATATACCCACAAAATTTACTAATAGCGTCAACGAACGCGTTTTCCAATAGACATCGTACGTGGTTTTTCTCTAAAGGAAAATCGATATGGATTATCCTTTAAATTAGAAAAAAAAAATCATGTTTTGTTTAAAATATTTCTCTTTGCTATTTTTATTAAAATACTTGGATGATTTTTTTTTCATTTTTAATTAATTTGTTTTACTTAATATCGAATGAATTTTTTACTCGTATTTTCACATTATTATTCGTTACACACACGGTATGAAAAGAGGCATGCAAATAATATTACGACGGATCCCTTAAGAGAATCTCTTGAACAACGCCTCCTAGTTCATGCAGAAACCAAAAAATAAAAAACATAAAAACATTAAAATAAACAATTAAATTATACATGCATATACACACACACACACATATATATATATATATGTATATGTATAGTTGAATTGTTAAATGTTGAATATCTTGAATAAGCTGTCAAAAGATACTTCCGACGAATAATTTAGCGAAATGATTGATTTATTATAGAAACCATATAATATACGGGAGACTTCCAAACATACAGACCGTTTTTTTTTATGTAATTTATTCTAATTACTAATAAAATAGTTCCTCGTATAACAGAACACAAAATTATTTTTACTTTCCATATTAATTATAGTATTAATTTCCTCCGTGATATAAAAAAAAAAGGGACATATATTGCGTTTTATAGAATCGTGCATGATTGAGACGAATCATAATCATCGTCGTTATCATTGTGGCGCCGTCGACCATGCATTATGCGATCGTGTCTGATCTTCAGACTTTCATGCATTGATTTCGAGTTATCACGTAATTAATTAACCCCAAAATATTGGGTCGTCAGACTAATTTTCAGGTTTGTGAAACGAATTAGGATGAATCTAAACAGAATATAAAAAATAATTGAAAATAATATTAAATCGAAATATTATTTAGAAAATAAATATTTTTCAACATTAAAGCTGAAATGAAACCAAACGAAACGCAAAATAAAATCCAAATATGTATGCTTTTTCTAAGACTAAAATTTTCGTACAAAAATAACAAGAGACATTTGTTATAAGAAGAAAAAAAAGTCTACACCAAAACAACTTTATTCACATTTCTTATATATATTGAACTATATATATATATATTTAAAATTTTGGCTAAATTTAGAGAGGATACAATTGAATAATAAGGCGTGTTGATTAATCATGCATGCATTCCAATTAGAGATTTCATCTTGTAGCCAAGAAGAGAGAATATATGAGCTGTTCTCTCAAGTCAACCGTCAATTAATCTTGTGACATATTTTTAATCACATCACATCCCCAATCATTCATTATTGTTCTTGTTATTGCCCTATATAATATATTTAATAAATATAACGGGGATTTTTGTTCTCGCTTTTTTTTTTTCCTATAATGTTTTTAAAACCTCTAACTCTAAGACCACCAAAAAAAAACTAAACTAACTATGGAATAAAGAATATTTACTATGTAAATCACATGCAAACATAGAAAGAAACTCTCTACAATTCCATGTAATAATACACAACCATAAGAACTATCATTTTCTTTTATTATTTTATTGGACCTTCTTTTATCTGAATGAATACATTAGAAAATCGAAAAGCCAATTATAAAATTGGGGATATATATATATATATATATACATTGAAGAAACGCATGTGTGTTTGGTAATTATGAACGAATCTGTGTCTTAATTGAGAGATTATAATTAAGAGAAGAGAAGGGGTTTGGGTCGTTGTCGTGAGGCTTTTACATCTTAAGCCGACAAAGAAGGAACATTATAAAGAGCCTATACATACATACATACATACATACATACATACATACATACATACATACATACATACATACATACATACATACATACATACATACATACATACATACATACATACATACATACATACATACATACATACATACATACATACATACATACATACATACATACATACATACATACATACATACATACATACATACATACATACATACATACATACATACATACATACATACATACATACATACATACATACATACATACATACATACATACATACATACATACATACATACATACATACATACATACATACATACATACATACATACATACATACATACATACATACATACATACATACATACATACATACATACATACATACATACATACATACATACATACATACATACATACATACATACATACATACATACATACATACATACATACATACATACATACATACATACATACATACATACATACATACATACATACATACATACATACATACATACATACATACATACATACATACATACATACATACATACATACATACATACATACATACATACATACATACATACATACATACATACATACATACATACATACATACATACATACATACATACATACATACATACATACATACATACATACATACATACATACATACATACATACATACATACATACATACATACATACATACATACATACATACATACATACATACACTTCACACGTTCGTTTCCCGTCGTTACAAGTCACTCACCTAAATCCAATTGGCCATCTATGTCTCTCCACTCAACATTATCATCTTCTAGTTTTATTTATTTATTTTAAAACTGAAATTAATATCTATAATTATATATTTTTTTTTTCTTTTTTAATATATAACGTGTAATATCTTTAGAAATAAGTGTAATATTTTCTTCTGGTTGAAATAAGCAAAAGTTGTGCGAATCAAATTATAATATACATAATTCTATTCAAATGGAACTTATAATTAAATTAATAAATGCAACAGAATATGAAAATAATGATAAAAGCATTTTTTTAACGAAAATTTGAACTAGAATTTGAATTCAAATAAAACTCGAATGGAACCAAAATAAATGAATAAATAAATACGGTGGATGATGGTCATTGGGTTCTATTTTCATAGCACGCATAAAATTTTGTTAAGATACATAGAACAAAAAGAGTAATGCCGTATGATATAATTTAAAATAAATGATTACTATTTTAGACCAAACGAAGACATGAAGAGAGAAATACCGATTTATTTGTATTAGAGCATAACAATATGGTTAGGCTTTGTATTCAATAATATCCGACGATAGCGTTATCTATGAGTTTTTCTATCTCGTATATACACCTCAATGGCCGTGGTATAAATTTGCAATAGAGATACACAATATATATATAGACCAAATCTCATAATATATATATATATATATTATAATTATGCTATAATTTCTAACACACACCCCTCTCTCCTGTGCACGTATATATATACTTTATTATATATATATATATGGAGTTAACAGAGATAAAACATAGGCTTGACAAGTGTAAGTGTCATATAATAATAATAAAAAAAAAAATATAGGACAAAAGGGCTTTGAAAAGGTACGCTTCTTTTCTCTGAAGTGTGCTTCAACTTTATCATTGTCAATCAAGAAACTGGTGA